GGATGCCAAGGCTGCAGTTTTGTACACAGGTAGGAAGAGCTCGGAGGGTTTATTTGAAGAGGCTGCGAACAGACTCATTATCTAGCTGCAGATTTACTGGCAAGTGTAATATTTCAACAGAGTCTGGAGATGCAGCCACAGTGCAGCAAGGGAATGTTTCTGTGAATAAATAGCAAGCCTCCCTCAAATTGATTCAGAAAACATCTTTATCAGACATTCCCTGTTGCTTTTAATTTTCCTGGACCTCTCTGTGCACAAAGCACTTAGCTAACAAGCATTTCCATTTAGTAGTCAAGCACGAAGACGTTATCAATGGGCCACGTAATTGCTTCATTCTGGAAGCTACTACCTGAAGCCACGAGAGAGCCTTTTACACTCCACCAGCCAAAACACCTAGCAGAAAGGTTAACAAATTAGACTTGCTTCAAAGCCACCTGCATCATTAAGCAACAGTGTGGTGAGACTTAATACAAAATAATTTTCTCTAAAGGAAAGAAATGGGGTTATCTTCAGAAGACGTCCCTTTACTACTCCTCGTGGTACTTTACGGTGCGCGAAATCTGGTTTTGACAATAGGAATATCTGGGCACAGCAGCCACGAGGAGCTTCCATGGCTGCTCGCAGCTCTGAAAGCAAGTGAGAGGAAAGATGGTGCTCTATTGTTGACTGGCTACCAAAACGGGGCAGAGAAGGACAGAGAAGAAGTACTGTGACCCCCCTTCCCCCATAGAGGGTGTGAGTTACTTTTGCTCCGTGCTAGGTACAGAAGTGGGGGGAGGTCTCCCCCATCCTGTGTGCAGCAGGTCCCGCAGGTCAGGGCCATCCAGGGGTAATTATTCCCATGCTGGTTTTGTTATTAAAATAAAGGTCAGGGCTCCTCAAGCAGTCACATATGAGTTCCCAGGCATTTTGGTGTGCATGCAGATGTTGCAAGTCCCCTTCTCTACCGATCAGAAAAGCATTCCTTTTTTTCCTCCTACTTCCAAGTAGGTGAAAGTTAGCTCCTTCCCTCCTCCCTTGGCCACACCATTCACCCCAAATAACCCTGGATACAGTTCTACTTCTCTTCCTTTGAGAAGGAAGAAAATAATTACCCCCTACACAACACAAACCAGGCACCCAATTTGCCAGGATAGCTGTCCCTCCTAATTTAGCTGGAGATTTTCATTTTAAAGCATGTATTAGCATAAAACCTTGCAAAGAGCTCTGAACTTACCCCTGCTTCCTCCCTATTGCTACAAAAAAGTAGCCTAAAGCAAGCTGAGCAGGAAAGGAACAAAATTAACCCCCACCTTCTGAAACAGATTACCCTCTCTGACTACATTGCGTGCTCCCACAGCAGGACAGGCTGCAGGGAGAAGTGACATAGCTGTTAGCTGTTATGGCTAAAAGGCTCCTTAATGCCTGACATGAGGAAACTTAATCATTTCAAACAGGGAAAACCTGCTAAAATAGGTAAGTGATGAGGTAGGTTTTAAAGGAGCAAAACATTAATACCACCTTAGCCTCAATCCTTAACAAAATGACTGCTATGGTGGAGTTGCTGTAAAACCTTTTCATTTTTTTCTCCCATAGAAAAGAAGAAAGGAAGGTTTTGGTTTAATGAACTAGCAGTATGTAAAAGAAAATAGGATATATTCTACATGGAGTTATCTTATTTGTGCTTAACAGGGATAAGAGAAGAAAGAAGATATAAAAATGTGGTTGCTAAAAGCAGATTTTTGTATAGAATACTTGATTTTTTTAAAAAAATAAACCCTAACTGAATAGTATGGCTAAATGCTTTCAAAAGTGAGATGGTAACAGAATTGCAGGCTAACAAACCTGAGACCAATATATCAGCAGGTGCTTTTGTATTTTACTATATTGCATTTTATAAGATGGCACAAAACTCTTGGATTTACACACTTGGCTGAGTCAGAAAGTCTTACTGCTGAAGTATATGTTCCTGTTGGTCTTGAAAAGTAAATCTGCTCCTGTGTTCCACCTGCAGCCATCGATGTGCTCAGGGTCAGGGCTCTGTACAGTGCTCAGCTGCCCTGGCTTCTATGAAACAACAATTATCGCAGTAATGAACGTGCCCAGCCCATTTGCTGTATTTCTGCCTCCTGTCATTAATACAGTAAATAACTAGATAGGGAGCCCTGTCTGAGGATACAAATAAAGGCTGTGCCAAACTCAAACCATATGCAACTTGCTGTTTGGTCCTCAACAGTTCACAGGGCAGATAATGTCGTCTTTGTTTCGCCTTTCATTATGTTTGTAAAATCTCCCTCTCCATGGCAGGTGGCCACGTCCCCTCCCCCAGACACCAGAGCAGTGCCCCCAAGGAGCTCGTACTGCATCGCCCGTGCCCGCCTCGCTCACTGCCTGCCCAACCAAACCAGAGCCCAGAGCTCTTCGATGCCAGGCAGAGAGGACAGAAAGCTTGGTTTTTCAATAGGAGAAATTCCTCCAGCCCTGCAGGTCTTTTGCAAACCCAAAGTTCAATGGTTATCCAATAGGAAGATGCTGCTCCTGTCCCCGGTGGATTACAGCCAGTTAACGAACTGCTCCGGGAACAAGTAGGATGTGACGTGCCAGGAGTGTCCCAACACTGGAGCTCAGGGGTTTGTGAAATACAGGGCGAGGATACACAAAGCCTATTGCCTGAGGAATTACTCCTGGGTACCACTAGGATTACTGTGCTGATTTTACGGTCCTTAAAGCTGACCTTCAAAAGGACAAATTGAGAAGAAGGAGCAGGGTATTCCGCTCTGGGTTTTTTTGAAACAAGAAATGCACATCTTGCCTGTTTTTTCCTGGAAGGATGAATAAAGAACAAAAAGAAAAAGCAGGTTTAACATCACTAAGGCCAAATAAAAGGCACGGGGTTGTCTGACCTGAGCAAATGATTTTTCTTTCAAGCATTTCTTTTTTGTCTGATAACTGTAACTTACATCAAATACCTGTCAAGCAGTATAACAGTGGAAAGGAGAACTCTCACAACAGTTCCAAAAGGCCCCAGCTACTAAAAGCTGTTCCTAAATCTGGATCTGTCCAACAAATTTACATTAACTAAGAAAAATAAGATTTTTTTTTAATTGAAAAATTATTTATTATTTTTTTTCCCTGGGGAGGAATTATTTTCAAGCCTTCTACAACTATTATTAAAAAGAAATTCCCTCATTCCTGTATCAGTTCGAAACCTCAACAGCAAGGTACCCGTCACATCCCATGAACTAGCCTTACATTTACACTTAAGCACAAGACAATCTGGACCACTGAGCGAGGGCTCAGCTGTTTCTCATTCATGTAGACTACGCACCATAGAGAAGCAGCCCTGAAAACCACATGGAAAGAAAAAAGCTCTCAGTGTTGCAATAAGCAAAACTCCAACAGATTTAATAGGATCATTGCACAGCCACATAACCACATCATCTCCAAGTTCAGCAGGCAGTACTTCACCTGACTAAAATGCATTCCTTTCTCTCTCTGAATGGTACTATGACACATCGAAGCAAAACTGATATTACTTCCTTTCACTCTGTGTTCTCACCAGACATAAGATGGGGAAGGAATTAATTACAGCTAATTAAAAATTAAATCCTCTGCCTTGCCTTTGGTTACTGTATTTCTCTGTCTCAGAATATTCAGCTTAAATGCTCTGTTAAATTCTGCCTCTGCCACCTTTTATTGGGGAATAATTTGCTTACTTCTCTTCGGCTTCAGCATCGAGCTCTGTCATTTGGTCCTCACGGGGCCAGCTGTGCAGTTCCAGTCCGGCTCACACCTCTGCTCCCTCCGTGCTGCTGCTCGCAGCTGACCACCGCCGCTTCAGCATCCCTCCCAGCGCCTCAGTGCCACTCCTCACTACAGGCATCCCCCCAGCCTGCAAGGGCCTCCCTCCCCTCGTGTGCCAAGCCGACTCTCTCCAGCCCAATCAGTTGATGGAGCAGCTCTCTGCGAAGCTTTTCAACTGCAGTTCCTCCTCGGACACCACCTCTGCTGCACAACTGACCTTCATGAGACATTTTGTGAGTGAACTCATTGTCCCTGTCAAATGCAGACAACCATTTTCTACGGGGAAGAGGAGGAAAGGAAGTGCAAAGCATCGTTTTCCCTTGGAGCAGGTCTCAACACACCGATGCTCAATAAATAAATGGAGGATTAACAAAGTTATTCTGCAGCCAGTGGAATGTTTGCCAGGCAGATCACAGGAATTTCACAATGTCAATCACTTGCTTACAAGCTCTGGACCAAGAACATCAAGGTTACGTGGAGGTCTGTCCTACAGAAACCATCACCAGGTTTTGAGACGAGATCTGATGGAGATTGCCGGAGGCAAAGAGTACCACATCAAGACTGTGACCACTGCCTAAACAGGTCAGCTTCAGAACTTCCAAAGGATTTAGAAAGACTAAAGTGGACTATTTAAGAAAACAGTGTCAATGATGCACGGTATCTATGCAGGTATTACAGAATTCTTTCTAGAAGTTTTGCTCCAATCTATGTCAAGAGAAAGTCATCAGCAGATACCTAGAAACGTGCAACTTAATTGTAAGAGCTGTTACAAACCTTTGAATGTTAATATCCTGCTGGAAAAAAAGAAGTAGCTGTTTTGATCCTGGAGTTCCATCTGTCATCTCCTCTGTCAAGACCTCATTAGCATGCAAGTGAGATGTCACCCCAGCCACAGCCTCCAAGAAATTTCTTTGTCAAAGTCCACTAAATTAAATTAGCCAGTAGAGAGGGAAAGTGCACATTTCTGAACATACAGGTACCGAGGCTAAAAGTAGTTCCTACTGCTGAAGGCGTATTGTCCAAGCTAAATGCAACACACGCTCACTTTTGCACCACAAAGTTTTTGAAAGGAGTCTACATATTTGTGATTGAATTATATAGTTGTGTGCTTTATAAAAATATTAGTTCAAAGTAATTATAGCATCACCTAGCCTATGGAAATGCACTACTCAAATATTTGCTAACGCAGTTAATAGAAATTGGAACTACATCTCTAGCTGCTAACAGATCTACCACTACACCCACTAATAATTAAAGTTACCTGGGTATCCATCTTGAATGCTGTTAAATTCAGCTGTTAACAATTATTCCAGCTAAACCATTCAAAAGGTGCTTTGAACTTGTTTAAGGTCCTTCGTAACACTGTGCAGCTGGGTAAGAGGCTACGTTCTCACCTGAACAGAATACCATTAATAATTTATGCTGGGAGTCAGGGACTTTGTCCTAGGGTACTTGCATAGGCATAGTGGCCACTTTTCCAAGATAAGAACTTGAAACTGTATATTCCTTGAGGTTACATTGCAGACACCGGTCAGTATAAACCTTTTCTGTTACTTAGAACTACCAAAATAAGTGACTGCATATATCTGCTCTATTAAAACTGTCCCTGGGGTCAGCCCAACCCAGGACCATGCCAGCATTGCAGACTAGCTGGTGGGTGCTTATCTGCTTGTCCAGAACCCTGAACATCAGAGTCTGTAGGAGCTGACTGAAGCTGGAAGCTTTAAGGTTAATAATGCATATCCCCTTGTTATAGTATCTCTCTTCCCAGGTTGAGGCTAAGACATGCTTAAAAATTAAAAGTGCAGATATCCTACAAAGGAGGAACAGATGCTAAGACTACACATTAAACTTTAATGTGATTCCAACTCAGAAAGTCGATTTTACTAACTTTCCTGCATTACTGCAACCTCTATGATCTTGTAACCCTGCTGTATAATGTGCAGGGCACAGGTGTGGATACAGACTTACCCTAAATAGAACAGAATCAAAACAATGTTATAATGAATGAGTACTTGACACTCACATTCACATATTGTATTCTCTCTTTTTCTTCTGCAGGATCCTGATGTGTTGCAACCAGATCTAGTGACAGGCAGTCCTACCTCTGCTGGCATCCTTGTAGCACTGTCCTCATACTCAGTCCCACATACATGAGCTGATGAAAAATCAGACCTCGAGCTTCAAACAATTTCTACAGCATAAATAAAAAGACAGAGAGAACAATTATTAGTTTTTCAGGTTTATCTAGCCCGTTCCCCTTTATATATCACACAGAGCATCTAAAGTGCATGCGCGTATTAATGTGGTGTCCATGCTCCCCCAATAAAGCAGCAATGTGCATAGCTATGTAGAACAAGGAGTGATGAGTACTAACGTCAGAAAACTAAGCAGCAGCAAAGGTAATGCTAACAGTCCTGACTAACTTCTGTATCTTCTGTGTACATTTGCATCACAGGAAATACTGATAAATACTGATAAATATTGCAAAGCCACTTGATTTAGATCTTCAAGCACATTCCAGAAAAGGGAAATAAAAAAAATAACATAGTATCACAGTATAATACATAGATGAAAAACATATGAACTTGCATTATTGACTTCAGTGCAGAAACCAATTAGGAAAATTCCTCAGTTTATGCTGGCCTAGACATCAGACTGAACTTGAGTGTATCACTGAATGTTGTAAGAGGTGGAAAAACAAAAAATGCTCATGCTTCTAAACTCTTGGAAGCAAGTGCTTACAACTACTGATCCCTTGCAATCACTTATCTTGCTGACAAAAGCTTTTGTACCCATCCTCATTCCAAAGTCACTGTCTTCACAAAGACAAGGCAGCACATTTTCAGAAGAATCGTACTGAGTGTTTATTTTAATGTGCACTCATGCTGTTACCTTGACCACCAACAAAAGCATTGTTACTCTTTCAGACAGTTACAACTTCAACGTTGCTACCAGCTATAATACCAAATAGATGTTTTCGAGCCATCTGTTTTTGGTAAGGAACGCTGAAGAATTGTTTCACACAAAGTAGGATAAAGCAGACATGGAATTATAGGACAGAAGGAAATACTACTCTCTACTGACAAACGCAAAATGACAATTAATTTTACTTGGAATCAATGTGCTGATAGGCAGATAAGAACGGGGCTCTTTGATAGGAAGAAAACAGTTTTTACAACTTAGTCTTAAGAATTTAACACAGAATCTTGGATTCCTTCAGCGTTCACATTGGTAAAAACAGAGATGTGAATATTGCACTGCATTCCCACTTGCACAATAGAACAGTAAGTCCATGCCTACAAATAGCTCATGGAGATACCTCACACAGGAAATCATTTTAATATGTTCTGTTTTCCCTGGACATAGTGCACTTGGGTAACTGGCCTCATTACAGAAGGAATATTTTAGCAGTTGGAAGTGGCTTCATGCTACAGTACCTTTGTGTAGAGAGATCACCTTCAGCGATTATTTATTTCAGGAGTTCAGATTGCTGCCTTCCTGTGACATGATGAATGACTTTTAAGTAACATAATATCTGGTTTCCTCCTCTTTCACACACCCATTTCATTGCCAGTTGTCTTTAGTGACCAGATCTAAAAGGATTGTTTGCAGTCAAAAGGGAAAGAGAAATTCTTTACCACATGCTCAGCCTCCTCTTGTTCATATTTAATTGAATTCTTGCTTGTTTTAAAATCGTTATCAATTATTCACCCTGAGCTCATTAACTCCAAACATCACAAGTATAAATAGGACTGCTCTGTTAAAAATCCCCAAATTTTCATTTTCCCTTTTAATCTGTTCTCTATGTAACAGTAAACTATTGAGTGAATTATATGGCTCTTTCCTGTATGTATTATTTAAAGCAGAGAGCAGGCCAGCAGACAAGGTACAAAAGTCCTGTGATATTAGAAGGTAGCACGGGCAGATCCATCGGGCTGAGTCTCTCCCATCATTGTTGGGCCATTGATGGCTGAACAGCACTGAGAAAAAAGTCCTGTCCTTTCAAAACAGCAGCTCAGACCTCTCTTTCTGCGTCAGTTTTAAGATTTGAAAAGAGTATTTTTGATTAGCTAAATTAAATCCTCAACATGTTTTGTTTATAACCCACATTCTTCTCAAGCCAGTTGATATTACAACCACACAACATCAAATATTTCATGGTGCAAGACTCGTCCATCCCTGTAAGATCAACACACACGATTTTCACATTGCACCCAAGGTGCAGCCAGCAACCCCAGCAATGCTGAGCTGAAGATGTGCTGTCTGTACACAGTGCTACTTGACAGAGCCTCTGCAGTCACTCAGACAGTCAGAAGGCCTTAACCTTTAAAGCCCTGCTGAAAAGAGAATGTTACAAACAGAAGCCTTTTTTTTCTTTTTGTTTTCTTGCAATTCTTTAGTATCAGTCCGGTGTGGCCATGACAATCCATGAAGTTTATTTAGCCACTGGGTAGTTTTGTGCAAGCAATGGAATTGTGAACATATCCCATTAAAAACTTCATCTTCACAAAGCAATCGAGAAATCCATACAAATATGACACATCCTACTGAACACTTCACCAAATGCCTCAGTTCTCCTACCTGTTTAATGGGACTTGGTTTACATTTGAATTCTTACTGCCATTGCTCAGAATGGTATTTGGAAGCTTTAAAATCCAGGATAACCTACCATCTCGTGGTCTGGGTCTCAGAGTCTTTTCATGGATTTGGCAATCTAGAAAATCAGATAAAATCACGGCTGACAAAGTGCTGTCTATCCCCCCTTCTCACATCTTTTGAAATAAACATATCCTTTTGCTTAAACTTGAAATTAGAGCAAATTTCTTAGACCAAGGATTCCAAGTTTCACCCTAAACTGGAAAGCATTCAGACAGAAATATACCGAATAAGCAATGCCATGGCTTGACTGTAGTGCTGAAACATACACAAGGTAATGAGCCTGACAAATATGGAAGCAATTTTTTTAGCTTTGTTCTGCTAGCAACAGAGGGGGTGACACGTGAAGTATTTTAGCTCTGTAGCTGAACGGAGTCATTATGCCCACTGAACGTATGACAACAATGCAGTACAAAGCAAGCATAGATATATAAAATAAAATTAAAACCAAAACAAAACAACACAGAAACTGGTCTGCTTTTCAGGATCTGAACTACTTGGGTCTACCTCATCTTGGTCTGTCCATAGCATTGTGCAGTATCCCAAAAACACACCCTGAAAGCTTCACTTCCACATCTGTAAAACACATTCTTCTTCCTTGCATGGTCGCGGTGAATATTCAAATGTGAATTGTTGCTCGGTGCCCAAACGGTAATGTATAAGGAAGCCATTAAAAATGCCAAAGATAGATATAAGGTTTCTAGGAGCACATAAAGTTGTAATAAATCTATTCCAAACTCACTTCTCACGCAGGTCACTAAATCTGTGCCTATAATATTAGGAGTGTGCTGGCTAACTGGCCACTAGCTATACAAAAGCCTTTTCTCTCCAAGTTCAATCAAAAGGACAACAGCATATGACAGACCCCTTGTATCTTTTGGTATTTTAGCCTGTCACAGCAGGGACCTCCTGCAGTGCTAGGAAAAGAGAGTTTTTTTGCTGGCCAAGCTAAAGCTAACAAAAATACCTAATGAGTAGAGGAGCTGAGAAGCTCATGCATTTAGCTATGTCTAAAGTAGCTTGTGCATACTGAATGTGGGCATGAAAAATTAATTCCAGGGATCCTATTGGATATGCTTTCAGATGACTGTTTGTACTAAAAAAAAATAATATTATTTTCTGTAATGCTTTTTACTTCAATTAAAAATATTTTTGTGGAGAAATTATACACAACCACCAACTCCATTTTCTCCTTATAACAGGGGGAAGGGAACTTCTGCCCTGCCACCTAAACACTGTCAGTGCCTTATGTCTGGCAGGCTTCTGCTCTGCCCTTCCTCTCTCTAGCACCGGTTTCTCTCCCTGCTGATAATCTCCATCCCTCTCACGTGTACCACATTTTTTCACCCATCTAAGCCAATTTCCCACTAATTCAGCCCACTAAATTCAGAGGGGAAGAAGACGAGGTGGTTTGAGTAGCTCTATGCAGTGTGGCTACACCTCAGGAGAAGGACGTGCTGCGAAGTGGAGTTACAGAAGCCTTGTCCTGTCCTGGGAGAGGAGGAACTGAACATGCTGGAAATGCTGTGCTGCTGCAGCTGCTGGATTTGCAAGGGTGCTGCAGTGCACAAGAAGGCCAGATAACATGGATTTGTCTGTGCAGCCACAAGGAGCACCGTGGCACAGAGTCTTGGGGTGTATGGGATAGGGAGATGTGGCAGCATGAAGCCGTATGAGGCTAATATTAGTGTCCTCCCACCAATGTTACCTGAGATTCCTATTAGACTTTCAGCAAGGAAAATATTCCCTACTGTTGCTCTAAAATATAACATGCATCTCTGCAAATGAAATAAACTGAAATGAAAATTAAAAACTCTAATGGCATCTAACAGCAGAAAGGAGACGCATTCCATAGGAGGAATGACAGTAGGGTGGACTTTTCATGTGTGATGGCACCATTCATTGCTTGAAAAAAGCAGAGCAGGGAAAAAGAGCTAGAGGTTCTGTCTAGGATAATAAACAAACAAACAAAAAAAGTATTAATTCAGATGTTAGTTTATGCTCCAAGTATAACATGCTTCAGAAGAAATTTTAGAGACAGCTAAGAGATGGCAGAACTGACATTTGTTCTGGAGTGGATGCCTATGCTCAAGCCAAGAAAAGCAGTTAGAATGCTGGTTACAGTGACTATATAAACATTGGGTAATCCTTGTTCTTTTTCTCTTGGACAAACTCAGCCTATAGGCTTGATGACATAATTTCCATGACTAACTATTTGTTAATTAAACGCACAATATATGATTATTAAATGCAAGATGATTGAGCTCTTAAGAAGTCTGGTCACTACTGTTCCAAACAGACGGATATTTGTCTTGGATTCCTAAACTTACACATTTTGTGAAAGAAAGGTCCAGTTTGATTTTGTTTATGTTTGGCACATCCCATTAGGAAAGTTTTGTAGTTTATGTATTTTTCCTTCAAGCAAACCTGAAGAGGAAGCTAAAGCAAATGCAAATATATTACTGCAAATGTACTTAGAAGGAAGTATCTGTTAACCTCACCTTTTTAAATGAAAATCCACTATTTAATCAAAGCCTTCTGTAACTAGGAAACTTGGTTCCAAAGTCTTCAATCCAAGGAGGA